CAACCTGTGTCAATGATTACCATTTATGGTCACATGTTTTTAGTAACCATTCTGATGTGGAGAGGAATGGCATACCATTCTTGTCGGTCTGAATATGTTTCTCTAACTCAGGATGATGTTGAAATCATCACTGAAAGGGGGGGGGGGGACAGTGAAGAACAGGGACAGATGCCATTTTAGCCACTCTGGCATGAAACCTCTGCTCTGAATGGGGTTCCAACTCTGACCAGAGGAGAATGGAGATAATGCATCATCTCGGACAGTGCAGGACCAAACAGATGCTGTCCAGATAATGTGACTTTAGTCTACAACTGTGATGTAAAAACATGAAAAGCAAAGAAGATAGTCTAGCACAATTATAAAGTTATCTCTGGATGAGGAATGCCATCTATGGGTAACAATTTCCATGTATAACAGGACCAAGTTAAGAATGGCTTTGGTGTAATTGTTTTTCTACTACATTTTACATCAGGTTGTGATTTTTCATTGTTTTTATAAGGATTATTAAACCCTCCATGATGGATCAAGAGGGGAGAGAAACAGTACAGTCATCTTATATTTTTCATATGAGCATTTATATAAAAAGTATTTATGAAAATCTATGTATAAAATGTTTCTTACAAACATTGTCAGACATTGAAATAGAGCTGTTCAAACGTTATAAAACTTTCTGTACATAAAGTGGTCAGCCATTTAAGTCATTGGTTATTTAATTACAGTCTGTCTTCTATGATTTGTATTACTTTCTTGGCCTCCTGGTTTTAAAACCCACCGATCTCTGCTGTACCTACATGAGTGTTCATACTCTCAGCTTGAAGAGTCTTCATTTAACACAAAAAGGAAATAATATATTTTCCACAGAAAATTGAGTGACATTTAATCAATTGCATAGCATGTTATTAGGCAGTGGTCTAACATATCCACTTTCCACCTTGGATAATTCACAAAATGTGATAACAATACTGTTGTGCTGTCCATGTTTAATTGTTCTATAATATTAATATTTTGTGCTCAAAACTGAAATAAATTTAAATCATCAATGGCATCTCAACAGAGCTTCTAAATCAAGATTATGGTCAGATACGTTCTATTTATATACTTGCACTAATTCAAGTTGCTCATCATTACTAGGAGCACAAGTTTCATGACATATGAAACCATAACAAAATCAAATACATCTTTCACTTCATTGTCAAAATAAGTTATAATGTAACAATGCACACACACATAAACACACACACACACAAAAAATAGTAATTTACAAAATAACACTAGAAACTATAATAACTTTGTAAAAGTGTTGTACTCTAATTAATCTTTTTATTTTGAAGTAAGTCAATACCTTGACCTCTATGAACCTCTGTAGTAACTTTCCCTTCATTACTTATTCTATTGGATATAAAACAAGCAGGTCTGGCAGGAAAATGATCACATTTTAACACAGCTTTTGCATGAGTATCACCAATATTGCATTGATACAATAGAGAAGTCATATTAAGAATTATTTCTTAGCGAGGAAAAGGAAACAAAAGTTGTTAGTCTAAGGTTACCGATCAAAGCCTCTACAGCAGCATGGTGGTACAAGCTTTAAAATCAAGATCTGGAATGTTCATTTAAATATCGAGTAACGAACGTTTATACACGTTCATATTTGAAGCATCAACCCAGTTAACTCACCAGTAGAAATTTCAAAACATCCAGATGAACATACAATAGAAGGATTTTTGAAAATAAAGAGATTTACCCAACTACCAAGGTATATCATTTGGCTATATTCAAGATTGGTTGCAACACTGTATAGTAACACCATCTACACCATACTTAGACGTAATAAACAAATGATATTATCACTCAACTAAATGGAAATATATGCGACTTATAAACACAAAACTATAAAGTTTTTATCTTAGAAATAGTTCTCTTCCTACTATATATGGCACATATACTGGTTGTACTATATACGGCACATATACTGGTTGTACTCCAGTATATGTGTAAATGTGCCGTATATAGTACAACCAGTATATGTGCCGTATATAAATGTGCCGTATATAGTACAAACACATATACTGGTTGTAATATATACGGCACATTTACACATATACTGGTTGTATTACTGAAAAGAATGGCTTAAAGATATAACAAGCCTATTATATTTGAAAGTACTAATAAAACTTCCAATCCTACAATAAAAACTGCAAATAAAATACATAAAAAATTCCTAAAAAACAGCAAAGATTAGAGGTAGTTAAAATTGTGCTATGTTTTTGAGCAAAATGGAGATGTTACATCCTCATTTTAAGTTTCATAGAAAAAGTCAGAATGAAAGCTTTATGAAAACAGCCCTTTGTCCATCACCAACATCCTTTAAAACTAGTTTTTATTTCCTACAACTATTCAGATAGAATATGGTGCTGGATTATAGCTTCTATAAAAATTTACTTACAAACATGCATTACAAAAAAATAATAATATTAAAACTAAATTCAATTTATTGAGTGCACAGTCAGGACATCTCTTAAACAATGCAACAAATAAGTATATGTATTCAGCTTAAATTATGTTAGTTTAATGACATTAACAATCAAACTTACAAATTATCAGCTGTCACTAATCTTCAGTTCTAATAATTAAAATAAAACTGTAAGCTTTAATAGCAGCACTAAATGTATTCCTACGTTTTACTGGACTCTGTTCTTTTATATGAGGAGACAACCAGTTAGGGTGACCCTGCATATAGCAAGGACTCATCAAGTTATAAAGGTTACTAAAATGTTACATATGATCAAACCAAAGAACCTTGTCTGCTGAAACGAAATGACAGTTGGAGAATATTGAATCGTGATGTTATAGACAAAGGGCAATCAGTTGCATAGAAAGAAAAGTTACTTAGGAAGTTTTAAAATGTGCAAAGAAAAAAAAAGACAACTGATGTAGGAAATGGAAGATGTGCTACTTTGGGCATACAGTAGGATCTCAGGGATGACTGGCATAGATTGAAGTGCAAACACTCAAGGATCAAGGGCAGAGACTTACTTGGCTTATTTACATTAGAAAATATATCTGGGACGAGAATTTGAGTTAGAAAAGCAGGAGCAGGCAGCAAAGAAAGGGGATCAATGGAGCACCAGAGTCACCAACCTTCAGGATTGATGCCATTATTGATTATGTGGAGCTGAGGATTGGCAGCAACTAAGAATTCTTTAAGAAGGCAATGGGTATGTCATTATTGATTATGTGGAGCTGAGGATTGGCAGCAACTAAGAATTCTTTAAGAAGGCAATGGTATGCCATTATTGATTATATGGAGCTGAGGATTGGCAGCAACTAAGAATTCTTTAAGAAGGCAATGGTTGACAATCTGAAGTTATCATCAAACCAACAGATTTCTCCAAATACTGCAAGTACATTTCATTTCTTGAATACGATTAGCTGCTAATGTATACACAAATGTACATGTGTACTTAGTGTAAGCCTTGGTAAAGGACAACATATTCAGAGTACAGTCAGCTACGTAAATTATGCTGCTTTATAAACTGGTAACATGAAAAAAATAGATAACGTTGTCATAATAGAAAGACAGTAATTCAACCATCTACATGTATACTTTATGAAAAGTAATTAATTCATTGACTTGTGTTTCTTTATTAGCAACATGTGTGAATACGTAAGCATAAGTTAAATGTCAAAATAGCCAGCTTCCTTAGATCTGTGATATAAGATTTTAGATATTACTTACAAATAAAACTGGAGAAGATATCCTAAGATGTACAACAGACAATGGAAAAATGTTTAAGTTATGTTTGAAAACACTATATTTCTTTCTTTTAATATTACTTATAAAAACAGAATTGGTCCATTTTTTGGACATATATTTCCACTTAAATTATGAACACATTTGTTGATCAAACAGTATAATATTGGAAACAAAATAACCCCAAAGTTATATGTGCCAAGTATGTGCGTATGTATGTAAATGAGTACCAAATATATAAAAATGTACATATAAACACAGGTATACGAGCATATTGAGTAAAGAATAAATTAAGAGTAACAATTCTTTACATATGTGACAAAAATGGAGGACTCTTCTTATGGAACTCACCTCTGCTGACCCCTGAGGTCAAGCTTAGCCTACCCCAGCACCAAATTAGTAAGATCTTGGCACCAGAAATACGGTGGCATGTACCAAGACTAGTTATTGTGCATTTATATACTTAACAACACTTAGAACCTGTACATGCACGTATGTGCATAATTATGTAAAAAAACACGAATTAAAAATTGTTTGTGAAATGCTGTAGATGAAGGTTTGAGGGTCTAGTTTCTATAAGTAACAAGTGAGCATGAAAATCATGCTTGTTACCCATTTAACTATTTACTAAAATAGTACACCAAAATTTAAAATGTGTACACGGCTCAAATCTATCACCAAGATCACAAAATGTCTGAGCTATGTTCAATAATCCAATAACTTCCTTTCACTCAGAAACTCTCGCACTGGAAAGATATTTTAAAGCTTTCTCTCAAATTTTCTTTTTTTTCTATCAAATCTTAAAAATAATTATAAGATCAGTAGAAGATGTATGTGTAACTTTCTTATTCCTGAATGAAATTAAACTATATTGAAATAGTGATCATCTCTTGGCAGTGATAAAAATGTATGCAGGTAATACAATGAGGCTTGTATTACCAAACACACGGGCTAATAGACAAACTATAGCTTACAAAATGAACTGACAAGGCTTAATAGCCTCCGTTACTTCTCTAGCAATAAATATACACACGTACATCCATTAACACACAAAACTATTTATCAATCACATAATGAAACATGAAAATGTAGTAAACCTATGAAAAAGAAAAGTGACTTAATCTTTTATATTTAAAAAACCATATTTAATTTGTCAAACACCTTCTATCTAATTGAACCAATATACTCATATTTAGTTTAAAAAGTAATACTGAATGTTAGTTCAATCGTTTAGAAAAAAAAGAATCCAAAAAAAATTTAAAATCAAAACATTAAATACGTTGACTATACCTAACTCACGACACTACAGTTACAGTTGTTGTACCTTACACAACCTATTTCAGTGAGTGAACAAGATGGATATTTACAAAGCACCATCTTCAAACTGCAGAGAACTCCAATTATCATCCAGATAATCAGGGTTTTAAGGAAGAACATTAAGTAAAATTGCACTAGGTGTTCTGTTATTCTATAGCATTATATAATGAAGATGATTTCAGTCTTCAGAGTAACTCTGTGCAGATTGTTGCTTTGATTGCCCATTTGTTCCGATTCCTCTTCACACGTTCTGGTTAGGAGCTTAGCCTAACATTACATACACGAAAAAGGTGATTCTGTTTGCAAGACAGCTGGTTGATTAAGGTAGAGAAACTTTAAAAGAGTTACTCCTTCTCATTAGCAGTGTTTTTTGTGTCTGACTCAGCCTTAGCTTTGTCAAAAAATGAGCGTGGCCTTTCCTTTCTTATTATATACACAGGATCTGGAAGAAACTTCTTCTGGCAGTTTTGGTTAACAATGTTTTGATTTTGTAATTCTAAATTATGGTAGAGTGAGAACCTTCAAAGCCAATCATCAACAACTGAACTTACTTCATTTTGTTTTTCTGCGTTTTGTTTTGGCAGCATATGACGAGGAGGCCTGGGTCCCAAGCCTTTTACAAAGAGTTTAGCATGAGCTTCTCTCCGAGGTGAGAGGTCTTTAGTGCTGGCAGTAGTTTGATCCGTTTCTTGTGTCACCAGTTCAACCCTCCACGTGGGATCCTGCTCGCTGGACGGCTGCTGGCCTGGTGGCTTGGGAATGTCTTGCTGATCCCAGTGTAAAACAACTGTAATGTGGCCTTTATTGTCCATGATTTTCCACGATGGTTGCTTATCCACCAACTCAAGGCTGTTGATAGCTTCACACACAATTTGAGGGATGGCTGTGATGGCTAAAGAAATAAAAAACATTTTGATTGAACCACCAACTTTTGAGCTACCAACTGTATTGCAGTGTAAAGAAATTTGGTTGTCATGGTTCTAGTATGACTATTCCAGAGCTTATTTCTTACTTTGAATGTATGTATCATATAGCAATATTTTTAATTGAATATCTACTATTATCAAACAAAAAAACTATTTTTAAGGTTTACCGTTTTCATCACAGAGTCATTAACTTGTATAAATATGGACAGTTACAGTAATTCTTGTTTCACTGTAATGAATAGATAACCAAATATTATTAGAAAACTGGTGTCATAATTCCTCTTTTACATCAGGAAATGAAAAACACTAAAATGTAGTGTTACGTATAAGCTTGTTTCTTTGTTTCCGGTAGAAATTCTTTCCAGGGATCTTCAGCGATACAAGTCCTTTCTTAATTAAACCAGTTTATTCTTCCTCGATACAAACTTTTAGTACACAGAAGTTCCACAATCAGTGCATTTCTTGTCACTTTGAACTTAATAACTTTTATAATACACGCTATAAATCACAGTGATTCACAATCTCGATAACTTCGCTCTCTATGAGTGCAAAACACATACTTTACGGCTCACTAGCTCAAAACTAACAGAATCATAAATTACACAAAACTCAAAGTAACTACTGCTCTCTCTTCATTCATCCCTGCTGGCTTATATACTAATGAAGAGGGCATCTCGAACACACTTGGACTTCCCAGATCATTCGAGAAACTTATCACGCACACTACCAGCACCAGCAGCGTCACTCTCTATGAGTGCAAAACACATACTTTACAGCTCACTAGCTCAAAACTAACAGAATCATAAATTACACAAAACTCAAAGTAACTACTGCTCTCTCTTCATTCATCCCTGCTGGCTTATATACTAATGAAGAGGACATCTCTAACACACTCAGACTTCCCCGATCATTCGAGAAACTCATCACGCCCACTACCAGTGCCAGCAGCGTCACGTGACTTCCGCTGTCGTAACAGTAGCTTAAAATATATTAAGCAAGTAAATTTTGTTTCAGTTCACTATTATTAATAGATTGCATGCTAAAGTTAAACAAGAATTTACATAAACTTTTTCAGAGGTACAATAGTTGTTTTTAACACAATTATACTACATTTACATGTAAACATTACTCGAAAAAAGATGTTTTACTAATAAGTCCATATTGTTGATATATTTCTAATATGATTACAGATTAGTAGATCTTTACACCACACTTGCCCTTTAAAACTGTACTCAAAAAAATGATATATTTGTTAATTGTGAATAATCTAATGTTTTGGGAAATGAGTAGAATAAACTTCTGGAAGATATCACAAAATGATAAATAAAATTGTGTAATTAAGAATAGTAATAGTGTTACTACTTTCAACCACAATGACACCTCAGACACACATGGGCTAACAGTCAGGCTAGAGACTCTTAAGATTCAGAAAGAAATATAACTGATTTTATACTCTAAATTAAAATTGTAAAAATGTTTAGAAAAAGACCCAAGGTATTACCACTGCAGTCATAAAATCTGACCACTGGTTTTAAATTTACAGTAATGTTTTAACTTAAGGTTATTTCTAAAAAAATAGTAACTCCTACTTTTTCTAATACAAAAATTACCTGCTCGCAATGTTTCCATGCTAGGAGGAAACCATCGTTCACCAGGACGGAGGAGGATGAAGACCGTGTCCTTGTCCACTGTTTTGAAGTAATTCTCATCTTCAACCTCTGTTCCATCACTTTCTAGCACCACTCTTAGCTTGGAGGAGTTGTTGTAGCCTAACTTTTCCCCACCTAAAAAAATAAGCATGTGGCTCACTCTAAGATATATTCGTATTTTTTGTTTATTGAAAATACACCTCTTTGAGTTTAAATGTTCAATCACAATAAAAATTACACATAACAGGACTGTTCAACTTCAAACTAGGGGTAGAGCCATATTGCTGGTTAGCAATCCTAAATTCTAGAATGCCAAACAAGTAACCTGAAAATCTGTCCACTCTTCTAGGGGGTGTCCATCTTATGAAGGAATAGAAGATATCCGAGTAATATACAAATAATATTTTGTTTCTTTAAAATGTCAAATATGTGATGTTTTTATTTATTTTACAAACTTAATATTTAACTACGGGATCCTTCCAATACTTGACAGCTAATAGATAAAACCCGGCTGCAGGCTCGATGCATCTCCTAAATTACAGAATTTATTTTCTTGGTATTAAAAATTGTTAAAAGACCAACCATTCTGTTGAGATCTCAACTACAAGATTGGTCTCTATCTTAAACTGCATATTCAAGACCCAATAACAATGTTCACTCATTGAATAAACTAATTACATTATATGATACGGTGCTACAAAATGTTTGTCTGGCGTGTTACTTGACTGCACTGTGCCGATCTTGTCTGTGGCTCATGAGTATATCTCAGAATTCAGTTTAACTTGGGACACAAGTGTTAACAAACTTAATTTTGTTTCCCAACTGCACCGTGCAAACCTTGTCTGTGGCTGGTGAGTACAACTTAGAATTTAGTCTGACCTGTGACACAACTGTTAACAAAGTTAATTTTGTTTCCCAACTGCACTGTGCCGATCTTGTCTGTGGCTCATGAGTATATCTCAGAATTAAGTTTAACTTGTGACACAAGTGTTAAAAAAGTTAATTTTGTTTCCCAACTGCACCATGCCAAACTTGTCTGTGGCTCATGAGTATATCTTAGAATTTAGTCTGACCTGTGACACAAGTGTTAACAAAGTTAATTTTGTTTTCCAACTGCACTGTGCCAACCTTGTCTGTGGCTCATGAGTATATCTTAGAATTAAGTTTAACTTGTGACACAAGTGTTAACAAACTTAATTTTGTTTCCCAACTGCACTGTGCCAACCTTGTCTGTGGCTCATGAGTATATCTTAGAATTAAGTCTGACCTGTGACACAACTGTTAACAAACTCTTATTTAAAAAGAGAGAGAGATAAAAACTGCCTATGGCAGAATTTTCTTTCCATTACTACCACAAAAATCTCCTTTGAATTTTGCACACATAGAGCAGTATGATATTTTAAACCAAGGTGTATGTATGTATGTACTACATGCAAACAGTTCTTTATTGAATGATGAAGCAACATAACACAGATATGCAGATCCAGAGATGCTGCCTACTTCTATATATGTATGTATACACACACACACTCCTGATGAACTAATAAGTTTTGTTGTTCCCTCTGTTTTAAATCAGGAATTATACCTACTTTTTTACACTACATACTGTTAATACATCACATTTATTGAATCTTAATAAAATTGGAGACACTCCTAAGCTCCTTACAATACCCAAAACTGGATGTCTGCACTGAAGTGTTATTACTTCAGTAATAAATTGATTCAGAGAACTCCAAACAAACTAAAACCTTAGGCCCCAAAATCAATGCGAGTAATATAAATCGAAACATGGTTTAAATACAGTTTTACGTATTCGTGACTTTGTGCTAGAATTTCCACACTGAACAGGAGGAGATGGTAAAAGGAAATGGCCTGGAAAATTTACCAAATATACAAAACTCAATTGACAATGGCAGACATTCATCCTCAAGAAGGAAACAGGTATAAAATATTACCTTGGGTCACAAAAGCTGTTAGCCAAGAACCAAGTGAAATTACTGAAAGCAACTGTAGGAGACACGCAACTTTTGATTTACCAGCTGAACATCGAGGAACACGTACTTAGGACTTTATTTCATCACCCACTTAAGAATAAATGGATTATAAATATTGGGTGGTTGGTTGAAAACTGGACACTTCTTATTAGTGGAATGCCTCACAGGTCAGTGTTTAGGCCTTGCTTCTTCTTAGTTACATTACAGATAATAACACGGGAATAATTAATAAACTTTGCTGAAAACATTAATTAAGCTCTGGTATTTAAAGCTGAGCTGAGGATGTCAAAATATTACAAAAGGACTTTTGGTATAATTAAAGGAAATTTGCCAAATATTGTACATGCCCAACTTAACATTTGATTCGGTACAAGGTAGTGCGTTTGGGTTATCATAATTTGGATCTCACATTTGGTGCAGATGTGAATCCACTCAACAGCATGATAATAGAAAAGGGTCTTGGTAGAGTGGTGGATAGGTCACTCAAACCATTAACACAGGTGAACAAAAACAAAGCTGAAATGGGCAGCAATTGCCTAGTTCAGTGACACTTTAGGAGAAAGTCTTGAATGACTGATCTAAAAAAGTACAGGTCACCAATCTCTGTTGCTAGCATTAAATATAGTACAGTTTTTGCAAGTGAAAAAAGTCAGTTTTCTCTATACAAATTACAAGTCACAGCTCGCTAGGATTACTGTGTATAGTTTTGGTTTTATCTTAGACAGTATACTGACTTATTGGAAAGGGTTCAGAGGATGGCTACTGGCATGATGGCTACTGGCATGATGTTGGGGATAGATTAGGATCTCTTATCTTTGTGTTCGTATTGAAATTCGCAATATTATATAGGAGATAAAAAAGATAAAGGCTTCTGGTTTCTTTGTGTGGTATTCTGAAGAGAAAAGGATGAGACGACACAAGTCTAAGATTTAAACAAGACAGATTGGTCTTATGTAACGAGTTGGAAGTAGTCAATATTGGAGGACAGCACTATACAAGAGTTTAAGAAGGGAATTAATGATTTCATGGAAAATTAAGTGTGGGTTTAAATTTTAACTTTTCTCAAGGCCAAAGCTTGATGCATAAAAATAACCTTGTAGAACCAAATGGTCCCTTAGTGTTCATATGTTATATGGACATTAGCAGAATAACTTCAAAAAAGACGTTTTGAGACATACTTGGATCTGTCCAGCTAGATATAAAACCCAGAACTTTTTAACCTTGAAGCTCTTCGAAGTTTGCACAAAAATGAATGTTTAGTAGGATAACAGATTCTTTGTATGTAAAGTAATGTTTAGTGGGGTAACAGATTCTTATCACAGTAAACCAAACGTAACGGTACTAACCTTTAGCTTTAAGGTCCGAGAGGGAAGTTGCCACGACCGCTTTCCTTGTTTCTCGATTGCAGCTCCATACTTTGTATGGAAGCTGTCTCAGTTCCTGGAAAATATAGCAAAAAAAAACAACACATTTTTAATAGATATAAAACTCAATAGTCCCATGTATATTGCCTAAAGGAGTTGGCTTAGCTTCATAATTCCATAAAAATAAGAACCTAAACAACAGTTACACAGAGGTTCGTCTACAAGGTTGATTACATTAGGTCTTATCCCTATACCAGGTAAATGCTGTCTACTTCATACCAAAAAAAAAAGAAGAAAATTCTATCATTAGTAATATTCAGGATTTGTATGCCTTATTCTAAATATCCAACGGGGAGTTATAAAAATGTAAAAAGTTCATAAAATAAAACTGACTGTCATAAGATATGTTCAACTTCTAGGTTTACTGGTTATTTTTAGAATTATTGAGACAGCACACCACATGCAGTTACAGAAGACAAACAGGAAATAGATGTGCAGTTCATATGACCTGGTTTGGAACTTGAGATGTTTTGATGTAACAAAATTGGTTAGAATGACAGTTTAGCATAGAATACACTCTTCTGATGCCTTGGAAGTCCTGGATTTGTGGAAGAAATTGGTTTAAATGTTTACTTTTCTCTAGGATGGATGCACAAGAACAACCTTGTTGTATGTTTTTTCTAGTTACAGTAGGATTATTATTGTAAGAAAACTGTTTCGATCCTTTTGAATAAGTGAGTATTGTAATACTTAGAGTTCGGGTAAGAAGTGACCTTAAAATTTATAAAGTTATCTGGGGGATCAAAAGGATAAGGGCTTCTGATTTCTTTGTGCTCTGTTCTGGAGAGAACTGGACAAGAGACAACAAGATTAAGATTTGAAAGACAAGCTAGGCTTCAGTTTAAGACAGTTTTATTTTCTAACAGGGTGATTGACTTGTGGAATGAGTTACCATGACCAGCAGTAATGGAGGCCAGCACTTGATGTAAGTTTAAGAAGAGAATTGATAATTTCCCTAAAAGTAAAGAGTGGGTTTACACTCTGAAGTGAAGGTGTGAAATCCTTGAAATGTCCCTGCTTTGTTTACGTATGCCAATAGGCCAAATAAGTGTTTTTGTTTGTTTTTCCAGTTTCTGACCAACTCTGTTTTATTACTTGACAAAAGTTTCATTGTTCTTTTAATTAAAGTTTTGACCTCTGATAAAAATATAAATTGTTTTTTGGATCCTTGTAGGTCACTTGTAGTGATCACAAGAGTTAATTGTGACCTTCGCCAATCAATCTCTACCATCGATTTTACAAGACATTGTGTATTCATTTGGTTATTGTTGTAACTCCTCCAGATATTTGGAATACATCGGTGATGTTCATAACAGTGCACACACAGGTATAGTTGGGTTAAGATGATTCTAGGTATAGTAGGGTTAAGATGATTCTAGGTATGGTAGGGTTAAGATGATTCTAGGTATGGTAGGGTGAAGATGATTCCAGGTATGGTAGGGTTAAGATGATTCCAGGTATGGTAGGGTTAAGATGATTCTAGGTATAGTAGGGTTAAGATGATTCTAGGTATGGTAGGGTTAAGATGATTCCAAGTATGGTAGGGTTAAGATGATTCTAGGTATAGTATGGTTAAGATGATATTAGGTATGGTAGGGTTAAGATGATTCTAGGTATGGTGGGGTTAAGATGATTCTAGGTATGGTGGGGTTAAGATGATTCTAGGTATAGTTGGGTTAAGATGATTCTAGGTATAGTAGGGTTAAGATGATTCCAAGTATGGTAGGGTTAAGATGATTCCAAGTATGGTAGGGTTAAGATGATTCCAAGGATGGTAGGGTTAAGATGATTCTAGGTATGGTAGGATTAAGATGATTCTAGGTATGGTAGGGTTAAGATGATTCTAGGTATGGTAGAGTTAAGATGATTCCAGGTATGGTAGAGTTATCTTATTGATTGATATCTTATTTCCTCTTAAGATAAAAAGGTAGGGTTAAGATGATTCTAAGTGAAGATGATTCTAGATATGGTAGGGTTAAGATGATTCTAGGTATGGTAGAGTGAAGATGATTCTAGGTATGGTAGGGTGAAGATGATTCTAGGTATAGTAGGGTGAAGATGAATCTTAACCCTACCATACCTGGAACCATCTTAACCCTTTCCTGTAAGTCAATATCTTTCTGTGTTCATGAGGCCTAACTAATGATTCATATAGAAGTAACAGCTTCATATGACTTGTAATCAATACATCTACAAGTACATCCTAAAATTGTGTTAGCTCTACTAGCAACAGAGTACTGCTGTAATAGCTTTAGTGATTTATCCACTACTACATGAATATCCTTTTCTTCTTTCACACTAATGAGTTAGTTCCCATCTTAACATACGATCAATATTATCATAGCCCATCTGCATTACTTTGGACTTAACTCTAAGGGTCAGTTGCCAAGTCATCTTGTAATAGTTTAACATCTTCAATACGGATAGAAGTATCCAATAGTTTAATTCTTGTTTGTTTTCTTGAATTTTGCACAAAGCTTCTCAAAGGATATTGGTATTAACCATACCTACATTTGAAATAATGAACTAGAGGGAAGGCAGCTAATCCAAACACCACCCACTACCAACTTTTGGGCTACTCTTTACTAATGAATAGTGGGACGACCCTTAACATTACAACACCCTTACGGTTGAAAGGGTAAGCTCATTTTATGGCAGGTTTTGACCCTGTGACCCACACATTACGATTTATCAGCAAAGTTTACTAGATCCAAATTTAATGTAAGCAAGGAAAACAATGACCCAAATACCGATCTGTGAAGTAAATCATTAATAGCAACCATTTATCGAATCGACTCCATTAATAGCAACCATTTATCGAATCGACTCCATTAATAGCAACCATTTATCGAATCGACTCCAATAATAGCAACCATTTATCGAATGGAGTCGAAATGGTTGCTATTAATATCGAATCGACTCCATTAATAGCAACCATTTATGAATCGACTCCATTAATAGCAACCATTTATCGAATCGACTCCATTAATAGCAACCATTTATCGAATCGACTCCATTAATAGCAACCATTTATCGAATCGACTC